TATTGAAATATCTGGAGGAAACAAGGCGCTAAATATACCCTATAGGTTCCTCTCTCATTATAGTTTATATATATATATAGTATATACAAGATATATAGTATATATAGTGTATATATATATAGTATAACTTTTCAGCCAGGCGTTGTACGTGTTTTGCTTGATCTGGGTCCCGCAACTCCAGAAAAAGACTGTAGACGCCCAGATTGCAGGATCCTGTTTAATACAAATATATATATATATATATAGATAGGGACCCTCCATCAAATCAAACCTGAAGCAACACCTGTGTATTATGATCTGAAAAGACAGCAGAAGGATCCCACAGAGCCCGAGAATTACCTGGTCATACCGGTCTGGGGCTTACCTTTGCTGCTGCCCGTTCCTATGAGACATGGGGGCGTGGGGCCATCCTGTCATCGATTTAGGGTTTGGGGGTCTATAGTCCAAGTTTCGGAAGCAATGTCGTCAAGACATGAGACGGCTGAATGTGCTATCGATGATCATCACAGAAGCAACAAACCGCTGGTGTGATAATCACGCTCATGATCGACATGGTGGGGTTCCTTCCCCACGCGCTTCGAATTCGAGCTTCCCAGTACTTCAAACCTGCAATCCCACTGTAAAAACCCGAAACTGCTCCCAACACTGAAGTTTAAGACTGATCCATTCAACCGATGGGATTCTTGTTCCGACCTCGCAGCCCTCACGACGGCACGTGCATTCCTAACGCCGGGTCTTGCTAGGACGAAAGAGTTGAGCGAGCCTCCCCTGCTGGTATGTTGCGATCATAAGATCATGCCTCGTTACTGTATCTTCTGAAAGACTGGCGACTAGAACAGGTGTGCTGAAGAAGAGCGCAATTTAAAGATCTTAAATCCGACGCGAAGATTCCAAGAAAGAGCCTAGACCCTAAACCCCAAGTCTTAAATCCTCAGCACTACATCCCAAATCCCACAGCACCCCCCCGTCCTGCATGTCTTCAGCTCGCTTCATGCAAATGCAGCTTGAAAGTTACGGTTTCGGGCTCAGAGAGCCTTCTGGGTTCAGTCTTCATGTTTAGGGGGTTTAAGTGCATGTTTTCTGCTTTACCCTCAGCCTACACCGCAAACGTTGGGACCATAGCCCTGAAAACCCTAAGCCCCTAAACCCTAAACCGAGACTCCGCATTCCGAGACCTTGGTAGACTCCGGCGGTGCGCGGCACGAGCCTCTGGGCCTTGCGATCCAAGCCCAGCAGGCAGACCCAAGTCCGGCCAACAGTTTCCAGATGGTAAACTTCCCAGGCTTATCATGATCATGTACCCATACACCTACATTTCTAGCTATCTATCTATCTATCTATCTATCTGTCTATCTATCTATCTATCTATCTATTTATCTATCTATCTATCTATCTATCTATCGATCTGTCGATCTGTCGATCTATCGATCTATCTATCTGTCGATAAATCTATCTATCTACCTCTCGATCTATCGATCTATCTAACTATCTATCGATCGATCTATCCATCTATCCATCTATCTATCTGTCGATCTGTCGATCTATCTATCGATCTAACAATCTATCTGTTTATCTATCTATCTATCTATCCATCCATCTATCTATCTATCTATCTATCTGTTGGTCGATCGATCTATCTATCTATCTATCTATCTGTCTATCTATCTATCTATCTATCTATCGTTCGGTCTATGCATCTATGCATCTATCTATCGATTTATATATCTATCTATGTATCTATCTATCTACCTATCTATCTATCTATCTACCTATTAACCTATCGATCTATCGATCTATCGATCTGTGTATATATATATATATATATATACATCCCGATGACCTCACGATGGATTTCGAGCCTGGGAGTTCTGCAAGCAGCTCATTGAAGGTTGACGGTTGTTGCCTTTGGCAGTCAACTTTGGTTTGACTTCCTTCTGGAAGGGTTTAGGGTTTAGGGTCCAGAGTCCGTCCCCAAAAGGGATGCCAGGAAACTGCCTGCAGACGCGGAGAGTCTCGGAAATCAGACAACATGGAAGCCTCTCCTCTCGACCTGATCTTGAAGCGTACAGTTTCGAGTCATCCGTTGCATCCTCTAAGCCACCTCCAAGCCGACTGCAAGCTCAAACTCGAGTTAACCATGCTTGGGCTAAACCCCACTGTTCCAGCTGTCTTGCAGAAGCATGGCGGTTTCCCTCTATATGCCGGGCTGCGTCCACGGGGCCAAGCACAAGGCCTTCACAGATGTTACATTTGCGAGCGCAACACAACTCCACAGATCGGCATGATCGGTTCAAGGAAGTCGAAAGAGTTCTCAGATTCTGGTATCGTCCTGCATACCGCGTCATATCATGCCGCGCTGTATTCTCGCACTGGGCCATACCTCAGAAACCCTCCAGAGATTTAGCGCTGAAGCAAGACCTAGACTTTTGAACCCCCGTGAAGGCTTCCTTCTGGAGCAGCTTGGCCAGGCATCTCTTCGCCATTTTGCAGCCTCGTTAACTATGAAGTGGCGAAAGCTGAGAAGAAAGCGGAGAAGACTATCAGGATCATATTACACATGCATATACATAGACAGGTGTATATATATATATATATATTCATACTTATGTATGTATGTATGTATTTATGTATATGTACAGGTGAGAACGAATGAGCGCAGGAAGGAAGGGTATGTATGCATGCATGTATGTCATGCGCGTATACATACCTGACGGTATGTGTGTTTGTTGGTAAGATGTCCCATATGTATACCCAATATTGGTGCGCGATCATCGCTATTGAAGTTGCTATTAACTGCTATTGCTGTCATTACATTATTAGTATTACTTCCACTTTTTTACTATTTCTTTCCTATTGCTATCGTGATTTCTATCATTGCTGTTGGAGGTCTTAGCACTGTTCTGTTATCGTTATTGTCATGAATACTGCTGTTCTTCTTCCTCACTACTACTACTACTACTACTACTACTACGACGACTACTACTACGACTACTACTACTACTACTACTACTGCTAGGACTACTACTACTACTACTACTACTACTACTACTACTACTACTACTACTCTACTACTACTACCAGTACGACCACTACTACTACTACTACTCCTCCTCCTGCTGCTGCTGCTGCTACTACTACTACTACTACT